GGACGCATCCTGCTTCTCCTTCCTTTGTTCACCACAAGACGGGATGGTCCAGTTTGGAAAAACCAAGCTCTCTTCTCAGCTCCAAATAGGTGCCGTTGCTCACCCAAGAGTCATCGCTGGATTTCCTGTCAAACAAGCAAGTTCTTGAAGACCCTGGGAAATCGTGTCGCACAGGCGCTTTCTTCCTTTCCCTGTTGTCCCTCCCCCTCCCATTGTTCTCTCTTCCCCAGGCATGCCAGGTCCCCACAGGCCACCATGGGGGGCAGTGAGGGAACTGGAAGCCAGAAACCATTGGGTTCCTTGGAGCTTTACCTTTTCAAACAAACCAACAAGAACAGTTGTATCCCTTCTCAGTAACAGGAGCCTTACGGGTTACAAGGAGAACTGCACCCCATAGTTTTCAGGGGCGATATATCAGATATTTCCAAGGTGCCTGCCTCTCTCTGTGTGGTCTTGAAGCCTAAGTTTTCATTCAGCAGACAAGTGCGGTAATGTTGGCACTGCCAAGGCCTCCTTTCAGAGATCCAAGCCAAGCCCAGCCAGGCCAGGCCCAGCCGACTCAGCCAGCCCAGAGGACAGGGAACTGCCTCTGTGGACGGCCAGGACGTTACGCACATTTACGGGCGCAGAAAACCTCATCTAGCTCCCTTGGAGTGGCTGGGGGTTTCAAAGTGCTTACCTTTGTCAGTAGGCCAACAAGTAACCCATGGTGCCACCAAGCCTCCCTTCCTTTCAAAGCTAGCGACTGTGGACAGGGCTGCTCGCGAGAGAAGCATGAGTGGAGGGGTGCGGGTGCTGCATGTGCGTAAAACATGGTTGTGATGGCAGTCTCCACCTTGCTTATAACTGCCCACTGCCGTGGAGCGGGTTCGGGCTCACAGTGACACTACAGAGCGGAGCAGAACTTCCACATTGGGGTTCCAAGCCGGTGAGGATTTCCAGGAGCAGGCAGCCTCATCTGTCGCTCTGTGGCCATGGCTAGGCTGCTTCACAGTGCACAGCAAGGATCTACCGAAATCTCCGGTGATGTGCTCACGGTTTCAGTGAGTATTACTGGTAAGGGGCAACGCTCTGTAGGGTTAATGGTCACGTGCACATCCAAGTCTCATGCAAGACTGCTACTGCTAAACAGCTCTCCATTTAAAAAACGTCCTGCTCCAATAAATACTGTCATAATTTTACAACCCAAAGGAAGAAGAGTCATTGCCACTTCAGTTGCAATTTTCATAATGGCTAAAAGCAGCGCCTGCATACATTTTACATTGTGCATGCAAATGTGAGTTCATTGCCCACACTGCTCCCAAAGTGTTGGAAGGTCATTTTCAAGTGCTTTCCCATTAGACTGAGTTGCTTTATCTCCTTAACTAATCCTTGAGGCAGTTCAACTACTCACAATTTGTAATGATCCTAAGAGGTACTGTCATGAACACCTGTATAAATGTAGATTTTCCTTTTTGAAAAAAAAGAAACTAGTTGATTTGTGAAAGAAAGAAAAGAACCAGTTGGCTTCCGGGTCTATGCGAGTGCCCATGAATGGATCAATCTGTTAATCACCTCAAAAAAGAAATGAAGCAACTCTTGGGAGCTCTGGTGGCACAGTGGTATCGAGTTGGGCTGCAATCTGAAAGGTCAGCAGTTCAAAACCACCAGTCATCCCAAGGGAGAACAACAGGGCATTCTATTCCCATGACCAGTTTCAATCTGGGAGACTCACAGGAGCAGGTCTACGCTGTCCCTGCAGGGTTACTACGCGTTCGCAGTGAGTCTGGTGAGTTTTGGTTTGGTCAGTTCGAAGGCACCAGCCACTGGGGGAGAAAGACGTGGCCAGTCTGCTTCGTTGAGATTCACGGCTCTGGAACCCACAGGAGCCGTCAGACTGTCCTGCAGGGTTGCTCTGAGTGGAATCAACTGGATAGCAACGAGGTTTTTTCATCTTATTTTTCCAATGTTTAAACAATCTAGAAGTGTCTTGAGAGGAGTCTCTGGCCAACTGATCTTCAATGTGCTCATATCCTGACTCTATGGGAATTATTAGAGCAGATTCATTGAAGTCCATAACAACTGTATGGGAAAGAGTATTAGATTTTTAGAATAAAACACGGTTAGTGTTTGGGATGAATCTTGGTATTGGTGATAATAGATTATCGATGATATTTGTCCCATAAATCCAATAGAAAGAAAACAAAACCTAATAGTAATAAGACTACTAATACTACCAATAATATTTTTCCTAAAAGCAGGACGGGGATGGAAGGGGGAGGGCAGGGACTTGCTGTTCTTCTTCATGCACCAAATTTCATTTTGGTTTTTGAAAAATGAAGACACAAAAGAACTAAAATTAAACAGAGCTCTGGCCTCCTCGTCAGGACAGCCAGGCCCTAGTCCAGAACATTCCACCGGCTCCTTCAACAAGTGATTTCCACCCGGCCCTTCCTTTCACATCATCTTCTAAATGTTAAAGTCTGTTTTAAAAGAAGAGCTTCTTAGTAAGTTATTTTTAGAATACCAGCACATGTTCCAAATCCCCACTGACGAGTAAGGGAACGTCTGCAATGCAAGAATTACATAGTTTGGAATTCCAATTTTGGTAACCAGTAGAGTGATTAGGAACCCTGGTGGTGCAGTGGTTATGTATTGGGCTGCTAACTGCAAGGGCAGCAGTTCAAAACCACCAACTGTTCCCTGGGAGGAAGACGGGGCTTCCTACTCCCGTAAAGAGTTTGGGACAGTTCTACCCTGTCATATAGGGTAAACATGAGGCGGCATCAACTCGATGGCAATGAGTTTGGTTTGAGAGTGAGTATTAGTTACCTGTGCTATTGGGTACAGAATGTCTCCGTGGGTGATGAGCCTTGGACATGAGTACAATAAGCAGTCTCAGAAAAGGGGGCCAGGCTCGGGCAGTCGCTCTTCTTGCTTTTTCCCCAAGCAGTTACCGAGTACAGCTCAGGGCTCTCACTGAGGTCTGTGGGGCAGGTGGGCAAGCACAACGCTCAAAACAGACCGCACTGCCCTCAAGCCCATCCTGAGTCCTAGCAACCCTCTAAGACAGGTTTCGAGGCTAAGGTCTTTCTGGGGCTTGACAGCTGGTGGCGCTGGTGGCTTGGCTTTCCCGTCTTTGTTGCTGTTAACCCCTAGGCCACCAGGGCTCCTCTGGGAAAGAGCAAGAGAACAGAAGGCACCTTGGCTGCCTGGAAAGAATACTGGGAAGGGGATGCCCAGGGCAACCACCCTCGAGCCCTTTTAGCCCCCAGAGCCAAGGAGGCTCCATGGTGAGACCGCTTTCACTCAGGGAAGACCACGTCAGAAGCATCCCAAGCCCACACCTGAAAAACCGAGGCCGGTGCTCCAAGTTCTTCTCTTCCAGCCCCCGCCGCCTTTCTCTCTGCAGCTGTTCGATCCTTTGCTTCTGCATTTCAGCTTCCTCTAAGTTCCCTTCTTCTAGAAACCTGAAGCATGGATGAAGCACGTAAGTCTCCATTCCGGGAAACAGGTGAACACGTAGTCCTAGACCTGCACGCACGAACACGAGAGTCTCCAAAGGCCTTCTCACACGTAGCCTGCACACACGAACACGAGAGTCTCCAAAGGCCTTCTCACACGTCGCCCCCTTGCCCCACGCTTAAAGTGGTATTCTGAGGTGGTTAGGAATGATACACTTTTACACATTGGTGATATAGTTGCACGGTCCAAAACATGGTGATCTCTGCAAAGGAACTGAGCTAAAGTTTCCCTCTCACTCCTGTCTTCAGTTCCACCTGTACTCCTGCCTCCCCCTCAACCTTGACCTCCCCACTGGTAGGCGGTGCCGTGCGTTTCTTGCCTCGGCGTAGGTTCTTTATGCATGCATAAGCTGACGTCGAGGTAGGCTCTCACCTCCTTTGAAAAATATAAACAGTGTATTATAAATAGCAGTACAGGCCATTTATATCCATGGGTTTTAACATTTTCTCTTAGCTAACAAAACAGCTTGGCCTTCCATAACAGCACATGGACAATTTGATAGGCTCCGATAGCTGCATTATCTTCTATGTGTGGCTGTATCTTATCTACAGGATTCCTTGTTGGTGTACATTTGGGTTGTTCCCAATTTTTTAATGTTGCAGTCAGTGCTGCCATGAATGGCCTTGCCTGTGCATCACCGAGTACACGGCTGGCATGTCGGAGAGATACCTTCCTACTAGTGACTGGCTGGGGGAAAGGGCATGAGGATGTGTATTCTGAATAGGACCAAGCTGCCCTTTACGAGGGTGAAAGCAACTCCCAGTCCACTGGCAATGCTGTGAGAGCACCTATGTCCCCTACCGCCTGGCCACAGTGTGTCAAAACGTTGCCAGGGTGAGTTGAAAAAATGCTATATTCACGTGGTTTTAAATTTTTGTATTTTTAATCTTCTTAAAGGCCATCTGCCTTTCCAATTTTGTGCAGTATCACTGTTCTATATATTTTTTCCCCTATGGGTTGATCTCTTCTCCTTGATTTCTAGAACCAATTTGTGATATGAATGGCAAACATGAGGGGCTTTCAAAAAGTGCCTAGGAAAATGCCATTATCTTTTAGTTCCATTTTCCCACACAATTTTTAAAGCGCCTTTGTATATTTTCTCAGACTGCTCTTTGTCTTTTGAATTTGGTTGTATATTTTCATTTATCTTGTCTTAAATGATGGTGGTAAAAAACAAAATAATAAGGCTAGTTTTATCAATCTTTTTTTTTTTTTGCCTTCTGGTGTCTGAATCCTAATTGGGAAGGGTTTTGGGGAGAGAAGAAAATGTTTCTTTTTCCACAGAGTAGAAAACAGGCTGAGGAAGATGAACAAGACTCCTCAAATGTCACGCAGCTTTTGGGGGCAGCAAACCTGGGCTCAGAAGTTAGCTCTGGGTCCACTGAGAGGATTCAAAGTCAGGGCTGGGGGAGCGGCCAGGTGCTTCTCACTTTCCAATTCACATAAGGAGGTAAGTCTTCATTATCATCAGCTGTATTCCACTGGCAATGGGCTCTATAATGAATACAGGCCCCACACAGGAAGGCCTCACCGGGACCCATCCTCAGCACCACCGCTGGGGCCCGCTCCGTGTCTGCCCCTAATGACATCGTCTAGCGCTCAAGTGCCTCTGGGGCCCTGGGTTGTTAACAGGTTCTTCTTTTTAAAAAAATAGTTTTACATTTTTGAAAATAAAGACTTTAAATGATCATGAAATCCTTACCTTTGGTCTGGTCTAAATCGAGTGTCAGTAGGTGGCAATAAAGATTTTGACAATGGATCCACTTCGTTTAATTCTAGTGCAAACTGTGTGAAACCATAATATTGCTCACAGCCTTTGGGCATGGGATCTAAAAGAAAGGTAAACCATTCATCATAACGTGCATTTCATTTTGTTGCATTTTGATTTTTTTAAAAATCTCTGGCAGTATATATATAGTATATAAGAGGGTAACCCCTTAAAAAAACCAGAATCCCCACCCCCCAAAAAAAAACCTGATCACCTTCAAAGTACACTCCATTGCACTTAATACATTTGTTAAATCTGCTATTCCATTCTTGGAAACATTTTTCAAACTCATCTGGATGCTGATGGTGCCTCCCTCGTTTCTTCTTCGCCTTGTCTGCGTCGTCAAACCGCTGTGCTCTTGTGCCTCTCTTCATCGGCAGACACAAACAGGAGTCGCAAGGTGAGTCAGGTGGGTGGGGCAAGAGAGGCATGCTGGGTCTTGCCCCAAACTGGGGCACTGAGCTGGTGTCATGAGCAGGTGCATTGTCGTGGTGGCAAAACCAGTCTCCCGTCTGCCACCAATCAGGCCTTTTGTGTCGCACACTGTTACACGATCTTTCCAGAACCTCTAAATAGAGATCCTGATTAACAGTCTGACCTGGTGGAACGAACTCCAAATTCACATTTTCGTCTGTTGGGGAAGCTGACGGATGTCCAGAACAAGGTTTGTCATCAATCAACATTTCATCTTTTTGAAATGAGAAAACCACTCGTACACTGGAATTTTTCCCACGCGCTCTCCTTGTAAGCGGTGTTTAACAGCATACAGTTTCTGCGGCATTTTTCCCGAGCAGGAAACAAAATTTCACAGTGCACACTGTTCTCTTAAATTGGCCATCACAAAACAGGAGGTTTAAGCAAAAGTGCTTCTATGAAAAAAATTCACTGTGACCAGAGAGAACCTTCCCAGGTGACGTCACTGGGTGCACTAACTCAGAGCAAGTGGCTGGATGCTCGCCTAGTGGGAAAAATGCATACGACGAAAGCTCCGCTGGGCCCAGCGCAATTCCGGATTTTTTTTGGTACCCCCCTCATATAATATATGTATAACATATATCTATTCCTTCTAGCTATAAGCCGTTACAGTCCTCTTAAAATATTCTGGCTATGCAAATAAGTGCCGAGTATTTCTTTAAAATACATTTTCTTCTCTGCATATTTTTTCTATCTACAGGGATAAGGCCTCCTTAGTCTAGGATATAGATCACATTTATATAATGCTAGGAAAGTCATTCTATCTTGTTAATGCTATAAAAACAACTTATTAAGGTAAACATGCTATCATTCTGGTTCTGTTTTTCTCTATCCACAAAAGTTTCTCTCCTTAGAGAATCCATTCCAATTTGAGGGACATCAAAGCCTCCTCAAACTCTTTTTAGCACCTAAATCTGGGCTGAAACCATAACAGGGGAGTCAATACATGTGAATTCCACCCCTGTTCTCCTTTTCAACAACTCTTATCCCACTCCCTTTCCAAATGCTACATATTAAAAGGAAAAGGATGCCCTATCTTGAGTCTTAGCAAAACATAATACAATTATATATTAGGTACACCCAATCTAGACCGGTAAAATCCACAACCGCTCTCGCCATTCACACATACAATCTGGGTAGCACAGCCGACCTTATAACATCGGAAGGGCAGCCTCTGAGCAGGCATACAGCTCAGAGGCAGGAGGGATAGCCATGAGAAAAAGACAAGCAGAAATGGTTAACACAGGCAAGAACTGGAAGAATGTTGTGCACAGAGATGGCAATCAATGTCCTGAAAAAACAAGTTGTGTATGAGCTGCTCTATGGAAAACCAATTTGCTTTGTAAACTTTCCCCTAAATCACAATAAAATGCTTAAAACAAACAAACAGGCTAACAAGGAACGAAGAAGAGTTGTACAGTAAATAATACTCCCAAGATTAGATAAGAAGCAACAAAGCCCACATGGAAGAAGCAAACCAGCCTGTACGGCCACGAGGTGTTGAAGGGATCAGGTATCAGGCATCAAAAACCAAAAAATCATATCATTGTGAATGAGGGGAGTGCAGATTGGGGACCCAAAGCCCATCTGTAGGTAAGGGGACACCCCTTACAGAAGGGTCATGGGGAGGAGACGAGCCAGTCAGCATGCAGTATAGCAACAATGAAACTTACAACTTTCCTCTAGTCCTTTAATGCTTCCTCCTCTCCTCTCGCCAACTATCATGATCCCAATTCTACCTGACAAATCCGGCTAGACCAGAGCATGCACACTGGTAGAGATAAGAAGTGGAAACACAGGGAATCCAGGACGGATGATCCCTTCAGGACCAGCGCTGAGAGTGGCGACATCGGGAGGGTGAAGGGAAGGTGGGGTAGAAAGGGGGAACTGATTACAAGACTACATATAACCCCCTCCCTGGGGGATGGACAACAAAAAAGTGGGTGAAGGGAGATGTCAGACAGTGTAAGACATGACAAAATAATAGTAATTTATAAACTATTAAGTGTTCTTGAGAGCAGGGGCAGGCAGGGAGGGGGAAAATGAGGAGGTGATACCAAGGGGTCAAGTAGAAAGAAAGAATTTTCAGAATGATGAGGGCGACAAATGTACAAATGCGCTTGACACAATGGATGGATGGATGGATCATGATACGAGCTGTACGAGCCCCCAATGAAATGATTTAAACAAAAGAATGTAGGAGGCAGTTTGTGTTCGTCCTGGGGGAGTAACTCAGAAAGGCAGGGAGAATAGATGAACTGTGAGGCATGTCACCAGGGTCGAGGAACTGTACCTGCAGAAACTGTTGAATAAACGCATGTTTTACAGATAGAATTACATTAAAATCAAAACAAAACAAAAAACCACCACCACATACAAATGCTTTCTCCGACCTTTTTTTTTTTTTTAAATTTCGGAAATCCTTCCGGTAACTAGTCTGGAATTCCCTTCTATCTTAGCAGGAGAGGGACAGGAAAGCTTCCTACTGTGCCTTTAAAACTCTGCACCTGCCCCTTGGCAGCACGTCGAAATCCCAACAAAACTCACTGCTGTAGAACCGATTGCAGCTCACAG